GAAAAAGGAAATGAGAAGAAAAGGAAGAAAAATGAAGGAAAATTCAAAGAAGCTAGAGATTCAAGCCTAGAAATCCTAAGAAAATCACTACAAGGTAAGAAACTTGACCCTCTTCCATAATCCCACATCAAAACCTAGCTAAAAATTGATTAGGCATAAGTTTTGGAAGATTGAAATGGAAAGAAAATAAAAAAGTTTAGAAACTTGAAAAGTGTTTGAAGAATTCCTAGAAAAACCATGTTTTGAATTAATTTTATGCAAGATTTGAGCAAAACAATTGTTGTACAATGAACTAGCATCACTTATTCATGATTAGGAAGCATTAGAACTTGATTTTGAAGTATTAGAAATGATACAACAAAGAAAAGTTCAAAAATATTTAAAACTTGAATTTAATTTATCTTTTGCATGTTTAATCATCAAATTGATGCATATTCATGAGTTTTTATAAGTTTTCCATCATATATATGCATATTAGGATGTTATAAAACAAGATTTGAGCCTTGAGAACATGAAAAATGGATTTGGCAACCCTAAAACTGCCTGGAACAGCTTCAACCACGAACTGGGTTCTTCTCTCACGCGTGGGGCCAAAAGCACCGCATGTGCGGCACACCTTCCGTACATGCGGAAATGGCCTTTGCATGTGCGGCCAACCACCTTTGACCCAAATTTAATTCTGAAATAATTGTACACACGTCCTGAACGTGCAACCAGGGTTTCGCACGTGCGAATTTTAGGGAAAATGCCGTTTCATTTTCTTTTCGTTTTCTTCAATCCTCGGGTCTCCTTACACGTGTTTTGAACCTATTTAAAAGTTAGATACACTTAGAAACCAACCTAAAATAAGTTAGAATATGAAAGAAAATTAAAGTAAGAACCAGCTAAGTTAGACAACCGATTTGCTATGTATATGTATAGGAAGTTCAATGTTCTTTGTTCTTGTTTTAGAGGCCGAGTCTTGAGGAAGTTTAAGCCTTTGAGAAAGGAGCCAACTGTGAGTAGCAGTGTAGTAAAGTTACGTTCTTAAAATTATGATTCGAAATGCAAACATATGGTATGTTTATGACAACTAAAATATTATTTTTGTTATGAATGAACATCTTATATTTTTATATCATGTACTAAGATGACTTCTTGGATTCTGTTGGTTAATAGAAATCAAGCCAATAATCTTCTGCTAACTGAGCTCTTCAGCCACCTATTGTAGACCATGTTCCGTTTCGAAATGCCTTGAGAATGTTCATCACTATGTATATGCTTACATGTTCATGCAAATTATATTATGTTCAAAATGAGATTGTGCTTGGTTTTAAATAAAGTTCATCGGTGTTCATTCATTTACCACTTTACTATATTGCTATTCACTAGGCTTTAGCTTATCTCTCTCCCCTATATGTATGTAGGTGATGGCGAGGATTCTGTTATGGATGAGAGATCAAGCTAGAAGTCTTTTCTTTTGTTTTTCTACTTTTGGAAGCAAGAATTTTTGGACAAAGATCTTGTGTTTGAGTTTTAGTTTTGGTTAGCTGTATATTTGTAAATGTTAACTTTCCCTTTTGGATGTTGAACTTGTGGAAGTCAAAGATAAATAAATAAAGTTGCTTGTATGTATCATATGATCTATGCATAGGCTCTGGATGGACTCTTGATGATTAATGGACAATGTCGATTTTTTCGCATAAGCCCAATGTTTTAGTCTAATCTTGTTTTGTCTTGCTAGGCCTTTGATAGTCAGACACTACTAGAAGGGATGGGGTCGTGACAGTTACTGAACAAAACCTTAATGATTGGGAAATCAGTACCGAACAAGCTCAAACGAAACAACAATCATCGAAAATGACCAAGAATCGTTAATGCAAGATAGATAAACTTACTAATGCAATGCCAACTTCATCAGAGTTGTTGTCATCGTCCTCCATTGCTCTATAAATATCCTCACTCCCCCGCCACCACCGCAAACGGCGGAGCTGCTGTTACGCTTGCTGCCTCTAGACTACCCTCATTGTCTTCTCTTCAACTTGTCATAAATCTCTCAGTCGAGATCAGTGACTGATGGAAATCTTTTCGTCTCGTCAAAAATTATGTTAGGTTGAATAGTGCCAAAAATAAAGGTTTTGTTCGGAACGCATATATCAAACTAAATGTTTCTGTTTAGCGCTGTGTTACTGAACAAAACCTTAATAGTTGACAATTCAGTACCGAACAAGCTCAAACAAAACAACAACCATCGAAAACGACCAAGAATCGTTAATGCATGATAGATAAACTTACTAATGCAATGCAAACTTCATTAGAATTGTTGTCATCATTCTCCATTACTTTATAAGTATCAACAAATGGTGAAAATGACCACATAAGTAAATGAAAATTTGATTGGAAAAACTCGAAGTCTGTAATAGGATTGTTTGAAGCGTTACTGATTTAGACCGGACTATGATGGTGATGAAAATGAATACATTTAGGGTTTAGGATAGTGATGAAGTGAAATACGTTTAGGGTTTAGGTTGGTAAGGAATACATTTAGATGGTGGAAGAGGTAGGTGTACAATATTGTAGAGTGTCATTTTAATTGTCTTCATTGGTGGGTGAGTGTTCCATTAAAAGTTGTCGTTTAATGTAATTTTATTTGAAGATATAATTGTAATAAAAAAAGTAAAAATTATGAGATCCAAAAAAATTAAGTAAATACTAACACTCTTATTTTTCCCTCATCTCTCCCACTTCCTACCCTTGTCCCCCACTTGACCCTCTTATGCCTTCACAACCATTATTGGAATTTCTTTAAACGGTTAGCGTACACCCCTTTCCCAATGACCTAACTTAGCCATCCACTTCCATCCCTCACCAGCCCTTTCCACCATTCATATCCCTACTTGTACTTGGGAAAAGAAAAAAAAATCTTCAACGACTCATCCCCTCAACCAAATGGATCGTGTTTCAACATCTAGAACAGATAACCATTGCTGTGATTTCAAGAAAAGAGATTTGCTTAATATTTTTATTCTTTACTTTTTTGTTTTTTGGTAGATGCTTTTGTGACTACTTTATTCTTGCTGTGTGAGACCGACCATTATTATTCATTTCCACCTTTATTTCCACGCTCTAATTGATGTTTTCATACTTTGCTTTCATCTTCTTTGTTTTATTTATTTATTTTTTTTTGTATTATTGTTTTTTACACTATGCTTTTTGATGGTCATGAATATAACATCAAATAGAGTGTGGGCATAAAGTGAAAGTGAATAATAATGGTGGGTATCACACGGAAAGAATAAAGTAGCGAAAAAAAAAGCATTAAGCAAGTCTTTTCTATAGAAATCATAGCAATGATGCCTACTTTATATGTGGCCATTAGTATTTTACAATTGAAAAATGTTTGGGAGCATTAATTAGTACTCCCACTAATTAGGTGGTAGTGGGTTTCGCCATTAATGATGTGATGTTTTCGTCTTGGAGTTGTATTTTTTTTTTTTTTTTACTTTTTTAATGTATTAGTGCTATTAGTGGTGATGTTTTTAGTGGGATGAATCATTGTTGTTTACAATTTCTCAATCATTTCTCTATATTGCATTAAAAAATTCTCAACTTCGAAAAAAAAATATAATAATTGAAAATAAATACATCTTAACTCAATACGATACATATTGAGTTTTATGAAAAGTGTTGAAGTTGGGTAAATAATTTCTGGTCAAGCTGGCTGGTTGATCCTTGGAAATTGTTGTCCATTCCAACAATCTTGAGGTATCAACTTGTTCATTAGCTACATTGGAAAACAGTGAAATTTGTTGGAAAGATTGGTCGAAAATTAAAATTTTGAAATTGATGAAATATACGGCAAAATGCTCTCAGTTGCTATAAATTCATAAATAAAAAAAGCATATATCATATATATGTACTTTTTTATGTAAAACCAGTAGACTACTCGCATCATGTGATTTAAGTGCAAAATTTCATAATTATCCCCTTACTTTAAAAAAAAAAAAATTATATTTTCTGTTATAAAAATAGGAAAAGCCTATCATAGGCACCTCATCACAAAATTTCATAACATGACAAGATTAAAATGTTTAAAATCAGCGTAATAAAATGTTTAAAATTTTGTAATTGATATTACGAAAGTTTGTGATTTGATTACGACATTTTTTGTTACATCAATTTGTGACGAGATCAAATATTTTGTGCTTAACATTATGAAATTTTATGATAAAACTATGTCAATTTGTGGTAACCATATGTTTTCCCTAAACAAATGAAAAATTGACTATTTTTTTTTTTTTATGAATTATTTTAAAGGATGATAAATATTTGAAGAATGTTACAAATTTTTGTAGTGAAAATTATAAATATTTGTAATAAAGATAAAGAATGATGAATATGTATAATCTTAAATTGAAAATTACAAACGATTTTAATTAGAAAAGTTTTGACATGATATGTTGTGATATTTATTATGAAATGTTATGATTAAATTAGTCTATATTATGCCCTTTTGTTTGGTTTGATTTTCAAAATTAATTTTATGAAAAATTAAAAAAAAACAAAAAAGTAATTTATTTGGAAAGATGAAAAAAAAAAAATACATATTGTTGGACAATCCATTTCTTAAACACTTCATTTTTAAATTTATATTTTATTTTTTATTTTTTAAACACTCTAATTTAATTCTAACTCTACTACCTGCTAGCATTTTTTTCTTGAAATGCTTTAACATTTTTTGTTTCATTTAAGGATTTTAAAAAAAACAAAAAGACAAAAAAACAAAAAAATAAAAAAATATATACTCTCATCTCAACTAATTTCATTATTTCCTTCTCTCTCCAAACTCTTAAACCAAACACACTCCCTCCACTTTCTGCTTTTTCTCACCACTTTCTGATTCGGTCTTGTGTTGTTTTTGTTTCACAAATTCTAAAGCTTTTACTGAAAAATCTGCAATCTCTTCTTGCTTTGCTTCTGATTTGGGGTTTCCCTTGCCTTCCCTTCTGCAATCGGAATCAATGGCTATCGTAGAAGTCTTTCTCGGTGCGTTCGTCACTGTGCTCCTGGAGAAGATGGCCTCTGGTGAGTGGTTGAAATTTCTCCGCCACGAGGGCATTCTTACCCAGCTGAGCAATTGGATCAACACTCTCTCCCAAATTCAAGCACTTCTCACTGACGCAGAGGATAAGCAACTGACCGATCGAGCCGTGAACCAGTGGCTGGACGATCTCCAGGATTTGGCATATGATTTGGATGATTTAGTGGACGAATTCTCCACCGAAGCTTTGCGGCGGAAGCTGATGTCAGAGCAGCCCCAGGCTAGTTCCAGCAAGGTATGGAACTCCATCCCCACTTGTTGTACCAATTTCAAGCCAACTTCTGTCATGTTTAATTTCGAAATGAGGTCCAAGATTAAGGAGATCAATACCAAATTAAGCAATATTTTTGAACAATGTTCGAAACTTAATTTGGTTAAGATTATTGGAACCACTCCTACACCTACGACTAAGACTTGGCAAAGACCAGAGTCTACATCTTTAATTGATGAACCTCGCGTTTATGGCCGAGAACATGATCAGAGTAAGATAATTGAGCTGCTTGTAAGGGGGGATGAATCAAGTCATAGCAATGTTGGTGTAATTCCCATTGTGGGTATGGGTGGGATTGGCAAGACCACCCTTGCTCAGATGGTATACAACCATGAAACCGTGAAGCAGCATTTCGATTTGAAAGCATGGGCTTGTGTGTCAGATGAGTTTGATATTCTGAGAATAACAAAAGCTATTTATGATTCAGTCACTTCCCAAACATGTAGTTTTAATAACTTGGATCAAGCTCAAGTTAAACTGCAGAAGGTTTTGGCTGGAAGGAAGTTCTTAATTGTTTTAGACGATGTCTGGAACAATAAATACAGTGACTGGAATGTTTTGAAGAAACCTTTCAGTGATGGAGCCCAAGGGAGTAAAGTCGTGGTGACAACACGTAACAGAGATGTTGCAAGAATGATGGGAGCTGTTGAACTTCATGACATTGAGGTCCTATCAGATGAAGATTGTTGGTCGCTGTTTGAACAACATGCCTTTGTGAATCCAAGTATTGATGCAAATCCAAATTTGGTATCAATTGGTAAGAAAGTTGTGGAGAAATGTGGAGGTTTGCCTCTGGCTGCTAAGACACTCGGTGGCCTTTTACGTTGCAGAGAACGATATGAGGAATGGGTTAATGTATTGCGTAGTGAAATATGGGATTTATCACATCAAGAATGTGATATCCTACCTGCTTTGAGATTGAGCTACAATCATCTCCCTTCGCATTTGAAGCAATGCTTTGCATATTGCTCAATAATACCCAGCTACTATGAATTTGAGGAAGAGGAGCTAGTCTTGTTGTGGATGGCGGAGGGCTTTGTTCAACAAAGAGAGAAGCAAATGGAAGATGTAGGAGGTGAGTACTTTCGGGAATTGTTGTCAAGGTCTTTTTTCCAACTATCAAGTACCGGTAAAAGCTCTAAATTTGTGATGCA